CTCAGACAAGTGGGGGAGGGGAGGTATCATGAGACAGCTGGGGAGTAGAGGGTTTATTTTTTGCCTCAGAGTTAGCTCGAGACAGGCGCTTAAGGATCTTTTTACCCTCCTTAACCAACTCTTGAAGATCAGGCAGGATATCGTTGATGAGATTCCAGTAACTAAACACATGTACAGGGATTTTTTTAAGCCCAAAAGTCTTATAATAATCTTGGAGGCAGTTTCCAACTCGAGCCCATTTTTTCTCACTTATGGTCCCTTCTTGGAGAAACCAGGGACAGAGATACCAAATGAAAAGGAAGAATTTTCTTAATTGTTTTTTTTTTCTTAACCCAAGTTCCCTGTGTCTTGAGGGATTCTTTGACCCCAGAAAGAAATAAATCTTCCTTGCTAAATGCTTGTCCCATTACTCAACATTTCCACGTAGGTGGTGCTCATGAACCGGAAGTCCCAAGCATTGGGCAGGCTGCTGGGTCTTCCTCCAACTGAGGATCATAATTGACCTTGTCATGGATTCCTCACTGCATGGACGGCCCGTCCCTCTAATGAGCACTGAAGTTCCCAGATCCCCAACTCCATCCAGACCCATGTTGGGCACCAGTTGTCCTGACCTGCAGGACATCAACCTGGGGCACGAGAGTCAGGGATAGGGAATGGGGACAAGAGACACAGAAAGAACGACCACAAGACAGGATTCTGATCAAGTGGCAAACTTTGCTTTTCTTAGGCTAGCTTGTATAGTAGTCAGAGAAGGATATAGGGAGGGGTAGAATAGGTTGTTTGTGAGCCAGCTGTTAGTGTAGGCAGGATATTAGGAAGCCACAAAGAGGATGTTTGGCAGGGTAAAGAGTTTATGAGTAAGAGGTCCAGGAAGGGTTGCTTAGGTGACTGAATCTGTGAGTGGAGGACTGGGTCAGGTTGTTTATGTAAAGGTTAAGTATGTGGCCTGCCAAACATGGCCTAGGATCTCATGCCAAGCCCTGAGATTTGGCTCCCAACATTTACCTAAGCTATTAATACAAAAATCTTCAATATATCCCTGGGCAGATCTCCTTGGACAATAGCAAAAAGCAGACATATTCTTAGCCACAATATTACAAGAATGGTCTCTGGACCACATACAAATTTTCTTCTCTGACACATTTTGAGCCAGGCCCCTGCAGTTCAAATAACCCTCAGCACCACTGTCTTCCAAGTTCCTACTTGTATGCCTCATTAGGCTTCATTTAAAGCTGCCTTTCTAATCCCAAGTCCCAAAGTCCATGTTCCTCCAAACAAAAGCAATGGTCAGATCTACCACAGCAATACCCCAGTCCCTGGTACCAACTACTGTCCTTGTTAGTGTTTCTATTCCTGTGAAGAGACATTATTACCATGGCAACTCTTATAAAGGATGACATTTAATTAGGGATGGCTTATAGTTCAGAAGTTTAGTCCATTATTGTCATGGCAGGAAGCACAGCACAGTACAGACTGCCATGGTGTTAGAGGGGTGCTGTGAGTACTAGACCTGGATTCTGAGACCTCCAGAAGGAATAGTGAGTCACTAGGCATAGGTTGAGCGTCTGAAACCTCAAAGCCCATCTCCTGTAACACATACCTCCTTCCACAAAGCTATACCTACTCCAACGAGGCCACACCTCCTAATAGTGCCACTTCCTGTGAGCCTATAGGGACTATTTTACTTAAAACCACTACATAGCCCAAAAGAAAGAAGTGTGCTACAGTCAAAAAAAGCTGAAAGGAGTTGGTGCAGAGTTCATCTAGCTGGGATTTTGGTATTATTTTAGTCCAGTATTTCCTCACTATGCTCCCTTTCCTCTCTTTTGAAACTGTAATGTATATCCTGTGACATTTTATGTTGCAAGTATTTGATCTGCTCTTTCATTTTGATTTTATATGATATTATAGTTAAGAGATTGTCCGGAGTCTAATAAGAGACTGGACTTTTAAACACATTGAATTTCTACAGATTATCCCTTCCTCACTCCCATCCCCTAACTCATTGTTTTGCCCCAAGAACCCCAACTCCAACAGGAACTCCCAGGGAGCATGCAGGCCACTCTGACTAGGGAAGCAAGTGAGCTAACTGCAGATTGTCATCTATTGCTCCTCTCCTCCAAATCAAATTCCCGAGTCTAATCCCTAGCTCTGCAGCAGAATACCTGTTGAGGCCTCTCCCACTTGCTTTGTGCCTATGTCCAGTGGATCTACTCTTCCTAACTTCCCCTGCTCACACACTCATTGCTTTATTCAAGCCCCCAAACTTAGCAGGCAATCCTTGAGAAGCCTCAGACCACACCAGTCAGCTAAGCACATAGGCAAACTGCAGATCTTCCCATCTTCTGCCTCTCCTCCAAATTCAACCCCTCAGTCTCATCCCCAGTTCTGTAGCAAGTGATCTGTAGAATCCACTGGAGTTAGGAGCAAGATAGGAAGGAAGGACCCAATAGGTGGCCTGCTACAGAGCTGGTGTGAGACTGGAACATTGGATTTGGAAGAGCAGATGCAGAGGTGAAGATTTGCAATTGATGTCACTTATATTTTTTCATTACATTCTTTTCAGTTAGCTTCAAACACAGAGAAAAAGACTAGTCAGTTTTCCTAGAAAATTTGCATGGGATTCTTGACATATTATGCAAACATCCTTTCTTATTTCTCTACTGTGAATATTGAAAATGATCATAGGATTTACTATTTGAAGAGTAATGTGCTATGCAATACAATTATAGGAAGAGTAAAAAACTAAACAAGCAACAAAACCATACTTATTCTATCTGACAAAAAGTCTCTTGAAAGAGTAAAAAGGAAGCATTATCCAAAAGACCACTTGAATACTCTGATATGTTAGATTAAAAGAGTAATTATTATTGCTTTCTAACACTGGCACTAAAATTTTCACATTCCTACATGAACTACCACACTAACAAAAATTAAATATATCATTAATTTCAATAATTTTCTGAAATCAAAAATGGTACTTATTTTGGAATGATACTGTCTACAAATTTTATTCTTTAAAATTTATATTCATTTAATATGCTTGTTTTAGTTATATAGATGTATGCATTATGAATACATTTGATGTTTATATGAGAAGCCTTACTTTCAGCACAGCCATAGAAAGTATGAGACTGAGAATAAAAGAGTATATGACACTTGTTACCAACAAATTTGCAAAGCAGGTTTCAAAGTCAGGAAACACAAACTATCAAACATGATTTATGAATTTGTCACTGCAATTTTGTTATGAGATAACCTTCTTGCACTTAAGTCTAGAGGTATGTGATATGTTTTCAATCTATGTTGTTGTTAGTATATAATACACAAATTTAAAGATAAATTAGAACTCTTCCTTTATAGAATACTGTCTTCATGCTCATTCTCAGAAATTTGGCTTCCCTGACCCTTTACTGTGGCATGTGTTTCATATGTAGTCAATCCACCAGTTTTTATGCATTTGCAACACGGTTTACCATAAATCTTGGTTCTTCATAAGGAATAACCTATCCTGTGTCTTCCAAATTCAGTCATGCTTGTCTATAGCCTTTATTTATATTCATAAGGACATTTTAATCTGTTTTGTACCAAAGAATTCTTGATCGCTGCAGGCTGTCTTTCTGAAGCTCAACCAATAAGTAATTGTGAATGGAGACTGGAAGTGTAACAAAACATTCTCAAATGTAGCTCCAGGTGCTGACAGATAGACCTGCTGCACTTTACCTTTCCTTCCAATGAAATGCTACCTTTCTAGACTGCTGAATTGGCAGTTGCTTATTGCTACTGTCAATACCATGTTTGGCTTAGTGCTCCTATTTGGCATTTCATCTACCCCATCATCTGTGTAAAATAAATCACCTGCATGATTACATATTTGGTTTACATTCTCATGGTTCTTTCTAGGTTTCAAACTGATTAAGTCTGAATGACCAATGTAATATAGGAAATAAAGTAATACTAATATTATATAGTGTATATACGATATATAATAAATAAGCAATAATGCATTCCTGTGTAATGAATAGTGAATAGAGAAACCTTGCAAAATAAACCATGTATTACAGAGTGTTGCTTTCTTCCAAGTAAATAAACTGCCTAAATTCTATAAAAATCTTGGGTTTTTAAAATAATACTGCATAAGCATAACTTTTTTGTGTGTTACTGAGTTGAATTAGAGATTCTTGCCTGAAAGATAGTTAGAGGTTATTTAATGATGTAAAGGCAACCTATCAGTGGCTATACCACTGAAGAAAATGATACTCCCTTTCTCAGAAGCAGGTAACTGTCAGTTGTCCAAAAGCAAACATGAAAGAATAAGGAAGACTCGTTGAGAAGACAAGTTCCAGTGGGAGAGAGAAAGGTATGAGAAGGGAAATGGAGGGCAAAAATGTTTCAAATTTTCCTGTAAGTGTATAAAATGTAAAAAAAAAATATTGAAAGTAATAAGAGAAGCCATGGACTACCATTCTGCTTACAATAACAACTTTTAGCTTGAAAAAGCATCTGTACTGCTGGTTCTGTGTGTGAAACTGACATAAGATAAGGTCATCAGAGAAAAAGGTGCCTCAGTTGAGGAAATGCTTCCACACGATCCAGATGTAAGGCATTTTCTCAATTAGTCAACAGTGGGCATGACCTCAGCCCATTGTAGGTGGTGCCATCTCTGGGCTGGTGGTCATAGGTTCTAAAAGAAAGCAGGCTAAGCAAGCCCTGATGGGCAAGCCAGTAAGTAGCACCTTTTTATGGCCTCTGCATCAGCTGCTGCCTGTGGGGTCTAGCCCTGCTTGAATACTTATTCTGACTTCCTCCAGTGATGGACTTTGATCAGAAAATCTAAGACAAGTAAATGTTTTCCTCCCAAACTTCCTTTATTGTCATGGTATTTCATTAAAGCCATCAAAACCCTCACTAAGACAACATCTCATTTTTCTTTTACTTCTATAGTCTTTCTTTGAGTGAGATAAGGTTTATCACAGTCTTGCTTTAATGAGATTTAATCCGAATACTTTATGTTACTAAATCAAATAACCAATATGTATTTGTTGGCTTCCATTTTCAAGGTATGACTTATGGATGAGGAGAGAGATACATAAGAATGTCCATATAAGGGTTGGGGATGAAATTTCCAAAACACATTATCAATTTGAAATTATTATTTTTCTATAAGTACAAAGCTCACAAATGGAAATGTGAATGGATTTATAACCAAATTACTGTTTGTGCACTTGAAAATATAATTTTATGTAAAACTTTATTGTTTACTTGGATATCTCACGTAAATAATTAGCCTTATTGTTTAATATGAGAATATACAGATGGAAAAATATGTCAACCATGGGATTCAAATAATTTCTGGGTAGAAAGTAAGTACTTCAGTCTAAGAGTGTAATTTGAAAATCATTTAAGTAAATTAAAATAAGACAAATGAAAATTGATACCAAGCAGAGAAATCATAATAAAGAGAGAAAACATTTGGAAACACACATAAAAGTTTGGGTGAGTTTACGCATCAAAATTAAAGTAGATATTTCATCAAAACATGATTTTTATTTTATAATTTATTCTTACACTTGGATATTTGGGATATATAAGTAATTATTTTAACATTAATAAACACTAAAGTAAAATTTTACTGTGTTTTTCTCGTCTTTATTTGTAATTATCTTTTATTTTGTTTTAGTGGTAGTTATGACAAGTAATGAATAGGAAATATTTTAAAATATCCAAAGTAATTCAGCATTCCATTAGCAACATAAAGCATCTATTAACTTTTAACTTACAGGTTTTATTTGTCTTTTTCTTCTTCAGTGTCTGGAACATTTGCAATGTTCTTGGTTAAAAATGATTCATCATTTCAAATAAACATTTATTCAAGGAACACTAACCAGAGGAGAAGAGAAGAGAGGAGAGATTGTATTATTTCACAGATATCATAACTACCCATCTCAGTATTTCTAGCTGCAAACATTCAATTAAGTAAAATGAAAACTCATTCTGAACTGTAATTTCCCATTCATAGCAAACTGCCTGTGAAATGCCTGAGATTTTTAATCTAACTCCATTCAACTCGCTACAGAAAAAAAGGACAGGACATGCATGTTTGGATACATGCTCTTTGAAAGCCTACATGCTGTGTTAACTTCATAGTGGTGTTGATCTACAAGCTACAAGGTCAGACACTGGTTGTATTAAATGGCCTGGTAAAGTGGGAAATTGAACTGTGTTCTGAATGAATTTTATGACATCTAGAAGAAGCACAAAATCATAAGTGAATTATTTTGTTTTAAGATCTTTCTGTTGTCTGTGGGAATGTGAAGATGTGGAAATGGAGCTGATAAGTGATTGCTACTCAATGGTGTTGGCTGTGGCAAATGTGCATTTGTTAGTGTAGCTAGTTTTGTTACAGTTTGACACAAAATAGTTAAGTGTGTAGAAGAAACCTGAAAACAATTTTATTAAGGACAGATGCAACATAATTTTACATTAGGAGACATGTGATGGGCAGTTGGAAAGTTTACATAGAAAGTATATATGGACATACTCTTTTGTAGTATATCTTCTGGAAATAAAATTGTAGAATAATTGCCATGAAAGGGCATTTTAAAATCATAAGCACATTCTCAGATAATGTACGAATATCACTTTGACTATTGTCATGGTGTTGTGAAATAAAATTCTGGCTAGGTTGTTAGGCTCAGCCTCAAGTTCCATGTGTTTGGTTTTTTGCTTTACGTCACATTTTTATGGAAACATTGGGGATTCATTGTTACTTCCAGTGTTTATGCTCAAGGAAATATACAATTTCCTATTGCTAGTAATAGGTTTCAGGAGCCTTCAAGTGAGAAAATAGAAGTTATGTTTTCATAGGTTATCTGGTAGTAATGTATTTTGAGGATGTTTTGAGTAGTACGCTAATGACAAACATCCCTGGAGAGCCGTTCTTACACCTTCATAAGTAAGTAATATGTATACCAAAAACATTGGTATAACATAAAAAACTGCAAACCCTGATGGGTTGTTGTGGGTGGGTCCCTGCAGGCCTTATAGCAAGCAGGGAAAAACCATCATTGTAAGGTAAGAATGAAACTTATATCATCCCAATTTTGGTAACCAGTACTGGGACAGGACTTTTAGGGCCTGACCCAAATCATCTTACTTAAGCCATATTTAAGCACATCACAAATGTTGGTGAAAAGAATTTTATGATAACAAGTAACTCAGTCAAATGTGCACAACAATTTTAAGATGTATTTGCATTGAGATTCTGTACAAAGTACACCTGGATTCATTCACAAGAAAGGGT